GCAGCCATTAGCATTGATACCTGGAAATTCTACCTACAAGAAGGATTATGGGCATGCCAGCTGAGGGCCAAGCAAGGGAAAGCGGACAGGATTAGAGCTTGGTTTGAATTAAATTTGTAAACTCTATGATGATGTTTCATAGAGCTGGTATTGGTTGAAGCTCTGCTTGACTTTATTTTGTATTCTGTACATATTTATAAATGAAAATATATCGTAGAACAATTGTTCTACGGTCACAGGGTCAAAAAAAACATATTTTATATTATTGTGATGACTTGTTGTGTGGTTTGCATCAGTTCTGATTGTTGGTTGTTGTCCACTATAGTATGCTGAGTAAGCATCATGTCACTATAGGACGGAGTTGAGCTCCTCAACCCACTTCTTGTCAGCCTTTTCTAAGTATCTGACCAACTTCGGCTTGATGCCGCCAAGGACCAGTCTGTTGGCGCGTTCGATCTGCCCATTAGTCTGTGGGTGGTACATAAAAGTGTAGTCCAATTTAATATTGTGTTCAATGCATCAGTCTTGGACCATGTCCGACGTGAAGTTGAATCCATTGTTCGTGATGACACTGTGGGGCATTGCCGTAATGGTGAATTAGACCGGACAGGAATTTGATAATTGGCTCAGCAACTTGCGTGGCAACCGGCTTAGTCTCGGTCCATATTGTAAACTTGTCAAGCATGCCGACCAGGTACTTATTACTGAACTCGCCCTTACGAAGTGGTCTGACCATGTCCAGCCCACATACTACGAACGACCTAGTTATCAGAGTTGTCTTGAGAGCCATCGCTGGCAAGTTGCTGGCTTTAGCGAATAGCTAGCAACTGACGCACTTGTTGACCAAATCAATATCATCTCCCCTAGCCATGGGCCAATAAAAGTCTGCACGATAAGCCTTGCTCACCAGGGTTCGAGGAATCGCATGGTGAGTGCAACTTCCCGTGGATATCTTGTAAGATTTGTCACCCTCCTCAGGAGAAATTCAACGATGGAAGACTCAAGTGATGTTGCGCTTGTACAACTCTTCCTCGTGCACAGCATAAGTGGCAGCACGTTAGATGATCTAGCGTGACTCCATCTAGTCCTCGAGTAATTCCTTGCGTAGCAGGTAGGCGAGGATGGGCTCGGTCCATGAGGCGATTATTGCCATGATATCATGAACCGAGAAGGTGACCTCAACTTCCTAGCCCAATATCATGTCCTCTTACCAATTGAGGTTTCGCATGAATTTTTGACTAGGGCTTCAGAAATGCATGGTTCTGTAGAAACTTATAACACACAAAGAGGATAGTATAGATGGAATCACCCCTCTGGAAGAAAAGCTAGGGGTGCACATCTTTGGGTTTATCGAACAAGGAATTCATCAAAACGCGTTAATAAGGGTCAAAACAACTTTTACTTTTGCATGTGATCCTAATAAGGGTACACTAGGGGGGTGAAGATTACAAGGCAATACCACAACTTTAAAGTGACAAACTGCCGATAATTAATTAGAGAGATCCGAAAATTTGAGCATCGAAAGGCCTATGAAAACTAGCTTAAAGAGAATGGGTGAGTAACAGGGAAAAGAAATAAAATGTAATAAGTAAATATAAATGCAATGCAAAGCATTAGAAAGTCATTTTTGCATTACAATATAGGTTTGCAAAAGCCGAGTATCGTTTCATAGGCACTAGGCTTATATTTGGTGGAAGAGGATTTGGAACACTCGGGTGCTCCACCCCCTATATATGAGTATTAAATTCAAAAAACAAAGCAGGAAAATTAAGAAAAAACTGAAATTTTGGAATATCAAACCGGTGTGCCCAATCTACTCCCATGTGAAGTTTCGTGAAAACATACCAGGAAATGTACTCTCGGTAAAAAAAACGAATTCATATGTATAGAAAATAACTGCTTGGATGGATCATAGTTTGGACTGATTTTCTTCACCACGGATACGTGTTTCCTAGTATTTTTTTTAGGAAACTTCACATGGGAGTAGATTGGACACACGGGTTTCATGTTTCCAAATTTAAGTTTTTTTTTATTTTCCTGGTATTTTTTGAATTTAATTTCATATAGGGGGTGGAGCACCAAGGTGCTACTGTGCATTTTTATATATTTGGCATACTTTTAAAAATAAAGTAATTCCCTAAAGTAAGCCGAGAACCTTCTGGCACACACTCGGCTTATAATCTGCCCCGTCACAGGGCCCTCAACCACCTTTGTGATAGTCGCGTGGCAGAGGAACGTTGCTGAGGCTTGACTGTAAGCCGAGAGCTTTTTTCTATATGCCGAGTTGTTTTTAAAAGCTGAGCATATATTTTTTGTCACAATCGGAGTATGAGCAATTAAGTTGACTTCTCATTCTTTACCATGCATTTTTTTTCAGTCATCAGGCTTACAAGAAAATAAGTCGAGTGGTTATGTTCTTACATTCGGCTTACGTTTAACCACACGGGTGACATGTGATTTTCCTATGTGTGAGTGCATTTTGGAGAACAAAGGGAGTTCAGTTTCAGCGCAATGGGTTATGGATTAAATTATGGTATTACTACTCCCTCCATTCATAAATATAAGATGTTCCAATTCTTTTGTGAATCGGATGCGTATAGACACGTTTTATTGTGTTTGTTTACTTATTTTTAGTTGGTATGTAGTCTACATAGAAATATCCAAAACATTGTTGACAGAGGGAACAGTTCCACGCAAAGGAAAATGAGGGAGTAGCTGCCAGGAAAAACATTTTTCAGTGGACGTTTATCTTGTGAAGGAAGGGGGCAAATCATCTAATCCCCCGGCAATGAACACCTTTCCCGTTCTTGTCTCTCCGTTTTGTTTCTTGAGGCAATCTCTCTCTCTCACCTCTGAAACCCATGGCGGAGGTGGTGAGCTCGCTAGGGTGCGGTGCGGCGATGAGCATGGATCGAGCATTCGAGAAATTGTCCAGGCCTTCCTGTCCATGTCATTCCTTCCTCTCCCCCGTTGCCGCCCGCCTCCACTCGCCGGCCCTGGCTCACCCTTCACTTCAAAGCAGATCTGGTCTGGGGGAGTGTAGCCGCCGCTGCCCTCCGATGCCTCCCTCGGTCCCTCCCTGCCCGTCGCTATCGAGAGCACGCCGCCACGGCGACCCTGCTGTGCGAGCCTCCTGCTGCCCGCGGCCATCCGTGCCGTGCTCCCTCCATCCCCGTTCCCTCATTGGCATGGCATGAGAGACGAAATGTGGCAGTCAGCACTAGTGCCTCCCTCATTGAATCTCTCTGCCTTAATTATGTCTGATGGAAGAATAGCCGGATCCAGTTACCTTGGCCTGGGGATCACACAGCATGGGTGTCAAGTGTCAAAAAGCTGGAGGTACTAGTATATATACTCGTAGTAGTATGTTCGTTTCGTTTCCTTTATGGAAATGAAGTATATGTACTGCCTGAATGGCACATTCTGATCTGAAGAAGAAACGAAAAAGTTCACCAAAGTGGATACATTGCCTGCAACTGCAAGCAAGGAACCATGCCGTGCTTTGGCAAAAGGAAAGCAACAGCAAGATGCCAAAAGCAGCTCGTAGCGTTACCATTACGCCACCCATCTTCTGCTCTGTCTCTTGCGGTGCATTCCGTCGCAGAGCTCTAACACAAAATGACAAGGTGAAATTTCTGTTTTGTTTCAGGCAAGATGATGGAGTGATCAGAGATACCTTTGCCTTGGACTGGGTTTCCTGGAGATAACTCTTCTTTTCCTCTGCAAGTGTGATTCGCCCCTCCTCGACTTGACTCGCCCGTGGCGCTCCAGAGGTAGGTACTGCAATTGCATCTTATACCATCACCCTTATCTGCTTAAGAATTTCGCACGAGCATTTAAACAACTGATATACAATATACCAAAAAGCATCGCACGAGCATTTTGCTAGTAGTTAAGCAAAGAGCGACTTTTCCCCAAGAAACTGCAGAGAATTTGTGGTTTCTAAATACCACTGATAAATGAAACACACTGATCAATTATCACTGCAGTTTCCAACACGCACACACACACACACACACACACACACACACACACACACACACACACACATATATATATATATATTGTGTTTGCTGTTTGAGTTGTTAGTTTTTTCCGATATTTCTGGTTGAGTCAACTCAGCCAAATGCTAGACCTTTTTACAGAGAGATGGAAACAGTTGCTTCCTGTGTAGTTTAATTTTTTTTACTAGGTTGCTAGAAGAGGGGGGCTGACAGGGAAAACTACCGGGAACTGTTATGCACAAATTGCTAATAAGGCAGTGGTTGCTTGGCTACTCATTACAACTAGTTTCACTTAACCAAAGTGATGACAGGGAGATGATGGCAACCAATTAGAAGAACATTCTAATAAGAGCGGTAACTAGTACGTTTTTCTCTCTTTTTCCTTTATGCAAATGAAGTTTATGCGATGCCTCGCAGATTCTGCTCTAAAGAGAAAAGAGAAGTTCACCAGTGGACCAGCGGCGATCGACACTACCCGCAAGTGCAAGCAAGGAACCATGGATGCATGCTTTGGCAAAAGGAAAGCAATAACAAGATGCCAAAAGCACATACCGTTACCATTACACCACCCATCTCTCTGAAGCATACACGTCTGCTCTACCTTGCGGCGCGCGTTCTGTTCCTGAGCTCTACCAACAAAGCTTGTGCCATTGACAAAAGCGAAATTTTCTCTTGTTTTAAACAAAGATGACCGAGTGATCAGATATATCCTTGACCGGGACTGGATTTCTTGGGGACAAATTTTCTATTCTCTGCAAGTGTTCTTCGCTCCTCCCCGGCTTGATTCGCCCTTGGCGCTTCTAGAGGTATACTGCGATTGCATCTCGTGCATACATATGTAATATATAATCTTGACTTTGTGATATGTTTTGACAGCGTGTGATCAGGAATTTAAGCATCTTGCTTTTGTAGGGAGTGGAGAAATCTGCGCCCCATGGGTTAGATATATGTTTATCCCGGTCTTCTGCTGGTATTAGTTTTCTGTCAAGAAGTTCAATGGTTCGTACCCTCTTCTCCCCTCACCAAGTCCAATGCTTGATTTATATTTGTGTCTTCCTAAAATGTTTTTTTAAGCATGACGTTAGCACTAACAAAATTTTGGACTGAAGCAACCCACACTATGAACTGGTATTTTGTACACTTAAATATAGTTCCGCTTCATTTAAACTTTCAAACTGGATGCATGCATTAACTGATCTTACAACTAAGATTGCATCATTTGTTGCTTTAGTGTAATATCGCATCATTTGTTGCTTTAGATTGGCACTAGTTTAATTTTGGACCGCAGTAACCCACATCAAACTTAGCGAGGATATGTATGGGAGAAACTGGTGTTTTTTACACTTATATATAATTCCAATCAATTTAAACTTTCAAACTAGATGCATACCACCACTAATCTTATCATTACGATTGTATCATTTGTTGCTTTAGTTTATTCTTACGCATAATAGCTACTAATTGAAATTATAGTACCAAGGTACGTATTGTGGCAGTTGTATGAAATAACTATTGATCACTGCAGTATGTGAAGGATTTTGATGACGCCGTCAGACAAGTGGTTGATCTTTTGTATGAAAGCGATGGTACTGCAGAAGGCAAAATTAAAACATTCTTGCTTCGTGGTTGGTTCGACGGGAGTGCTCGTCGGGTATTGGGAGGATGTGCTGTTCTTAGAGCTATAGCGAAGCTTCTAAAATCCACAACATGTGATGATTCTGACATGAGAAAGCACTTTGACAGAATTATCCATGTGGACTGCTCCCTGTGGAAAAGCAGCAGGACCATGCAGAGGACAATAGCGGAGGAGTTGAACCTTCGCCATGTAATGCACATATTTGATAAGGAGGATGAAGATGATGATTTCAGAGGAGTAGACAACAGCTCTAGAAAAGTGATACCAAGGATCGCAAGTTTGATTAATAAGTCTCTAAGAGATGAAAGATTTCTGATGATTTTTCATAATGGAGGAAGTGAAGATATTGATCTCCTAGAGTCTGGCATTCCTCTTTACGGTGAAGGTAAATTGTTATGTACCTATGGTGGAAGATTTTTGGAGGACAAGTGGAAAGAATTCAAGTTGTTGCACACTTATGATATTTATATTTATCCGGCGGCATATTATTATACAAATATTGCACCTCATATTGAAAATGTATTGCACAAAGAAGCTGCTGGAGTGATTGGTGACACCGGTATGGATGGCATCAATACAGAAACAGTTTTGGATTGCTTCTTGTACTCATTATTCCTAACAACACGACTACCTGAAAACTTTACTGGTGTTGACTATGGTTGGGCGACTCATGCTTGTAACTACTGGATATGTGATGGAATCCTTGGTGAGGACAAAACATGGGATATTGGCAATACATTGTATCATGTGATACCAATGTTGGGCAATTCTACTTACGAAACAAGACGTTTGGCATCCTATTTGGATGGACAGAAAAAACCCTATGTGGGCTGGTATTCAGTCACCTCCAACAAACTAAGGGCAGAAGATATCTCTAATGTTCCTGGCAGTGCATCATCATATTTCTTAACATTTCAGGGAGATGATCCAGCATATGTACGTAATGATTTGTTTCAACTAGCCAGCAACAACCTCCGTGTGCTAAAGCTCTACAACTGCAGCTTCACTTTTGCATCTCCTCCTTTTCAGTGCTGCCACAACCTAAGATTCCTTTGGCTTGACCATTGTGCAAACACTGGGAAGAAGCAAAGTGGAGGGCCAAGTTTTCTGAACCTGCTGGTGCTTGACATACGTTTCACAGATTATGTTTTCTTGCCTCAGATGATTGAACTGATGACCAATCTCAGGGAGCTAAATACAAAGGGGGTCTCATGGAAGCCTGCAAGTCATGCATGGAAAAAGCTACAGAAGCTTCAGAAGCTCCGATTAACAGAATCTTCAGATGTGGTCACGGTGGACAGCTGCTCTTCCGTAGATATGATGAACCTGGAGCTCCTTGACTTGTCAGGAAACACTCACCTGGAACATTATCATCCGCAAGAAGCCTGAAGATGCTTATTCTTGATGGTTGTTCCAGCTTGGAGCAAGTTGCCCTGCAAGGAGCTCCTCCACTGCTTGAAAGTTTTAGCTTCGATGGTTATGGCCCAGCAGAGAATTGGACACATTCCATACACCTGCCACAAAAGGAATTGCGCCTCAAGTCTCCTTTAGCTCCTGTTCAAATAGTCAAGGTGACAAAGATCTCCCTACATGGTTGCGGTCGATTGCATAACATATACCTGCATGCACTACCGAATCTGGAGGAACTGGACCTCTCTGGTACAGCTATTAAAATAATTGACCTCCATGCAATGTATGTCCCGAAACTCAAGAAGCTATTCCTACTGGGCTGTGAGCAGCTCCGTAGCCTAATCTGGAAAGGATCACCTAGACTGGAAGTTCTACATGTGGATACTCAAGGGACGAAAAGATCAGTGGTCTGCTATGGAGAACAGGGATCCTTTGGCTTTCAGGCACATATTGTTTTTACGGATGGAAGGTTCATTTGGTCATCCTCAGATGGGCTCAATAGCCGATCACAAAATGCTGTCTCCAAGGTGTACCTCCTTATCTCTTGTACGAGCAGTAGCCAAGCCAACATCACCAAAAGTATCAAGGAGATTGGATCTAGCCGACAGGGTTTGGTTCCAACAAGGCCGCTATTACCGTATAATGATATTGCCATGGCTAAGGATGTTACATGCTCGCTCTTGGTGTGGAACTGTCAACAGCTCCAAACTTTGGACGTGCATATCGAGATTGGTAAAGGAAGCTATAATTTAGAGAGTATGCAAGATGAAGGGAATTTCAGAAGTTTCGCAGCTTTTGTTGTTGAATCATTGCATGTGCATGACAATTGCTCCATCACTGCTATCCGCCCATTCTGGGAGAGACTAAAATGGTGTCATGTTGAGAGTTGCCCCAAGCTACACTCTGTGTTTTCACGTCGGAATGGAACATACAGCTTTCCGTGTATAGAGATATTTTCAGCTTCTGATCTCCTGGTGGCCTATTGCATTTGGGGAGGCATCAAGAGAACTTGGAATGACCTTTACCCCAGACACCAGAGTCTCTTACAGCTGCAGCACATATACCTGTACAATTGCCCAAGGCTGGTGTTCGTCCTCCTCATTTCCTTCACCTTGCCCAACTTGGAGACCCTCCAGATCGCATACTGCAGTAACCTCCGGCATGTTTTCCCATGGGACCACAAGTACACTGAGGAAATAGCATCTGGTTTCACATTCAACAACCTGAAGCACATCAAGCTACACCATCTTCACAAGCTGGAGCAGATATGTGAGGTCAAATTGACTGCACCTGCGTTGCAGTCAGTCGGCATCAGGGACTGCTGGGGTCTCAGGCGTCTCCCGGCCGTAGCACATCAATTTCCTAAGCCGGTGGTGGACTGCGAGAAGGACTTGTGGGACAAGCTCAAATGGGATGGCTTGAGGGCTGGGCATCACATATCTACCATATAATGCAGAGCAGCTCTACCATATATTGATCACTAAAGTTCGATAGTTTACTTTGAAAAAAAAGATTTAACGGGTCCTCTAGTTAGGTTGCAGCTTACAAGTAGTAACCTCAGCTGTGGAATTAAATCCGTATGGATAAAATGCTCCTGGCATGCATTTAGGTAAAAGATGGTGTGGTTTCAATGATGCGGGGATCAGAAGCAAACTAAAAAAACTACTGTATATAATATAAAAAATAAAGTATTAGCAAGATTCTCAATATATAGATAAAAACATGGAGATGTTTAATCTTCTGTAGAGCAGGAATAATCATCATGGCTTCCACACTTAGGCAATCACCAATATATAGTTTGTGAGAAGATAGCACTCGCTTAAATTTAGCTAACTCAAAGTGGTGTGCCATATCACAAATGTGGAGTTGTTACATGTGTAAAGATTGTTGTCACTGGCAAATAAAATGCAATGTGCTGAGAGCAGAGAGAAATAGCACTGTACAGAGTGCACAAACACAATGTGCTGAACGGAATCTAACTGGAACTAAATAACTTGTGCTGAACCCGAAGTCCAATGAAATTCGTATGAGACGACCAACTTCAGGTAACCTTTCTGCTACTGAATACAGATGCAAAGCAGAATGTTTTCATTGGCAAACAAAATGAAATAAAACACATGCTTCACCAATATTGCCTCTTCAAATTATTAAAAATGTCATCACAGTTGTCATCCATTATGCGGAGAACATACGGTTGATTCAGTTGATGTATATTTTTGAGCTGACCTTTTTAGTTTGCAGATAGTTAGGGGCCATGGTGGCACAAGCATTTAAACAACTGATACAGTACAATATTACAAAAAACAAAAAACAATGCACAAGAATTTTGCTAGTAGTTAGGCAAAGAGCAAGTTTTCCCCAAGAAAACAAAGAGAATTAGTAGTTTCCACATGCTGTTGATAAATGAAATACACTGATCAGTGATCACTGCAGTTTCTAACATATATATGGCATTTGCTGTTTGGGTTGTTAGTTTTTTCCCATATTTCCCGTTGAGTCAGCTAAGCTAAATGCTAGACCTTTTTACAGAGAGATGGAAACAGATGCTTCCTGTGTAGTATAATTTTGTTTTACTAGGTTGCTAGAATATGGGGGGCTTACAGGAAAAACTACCGGGATCTGTTATGCACAAATTGCTAATAAGGCAGTGGTTGCTTGGCTACTCAATACAACTAGTTTAACTTAACCAAAATGATGACAGGGAGATGATGGCAACCAGTTGAGAGAACATTGCGATAAGAGTGGTAACTAGTTTGAAGAACATTGTAGACAAGAATCGAACCAATCTGAAGAAGAACATCACAAACGAAGAGACGTTTAAAAATCAATTGGGGAAAGCAATGCCCAAGCGGCAAAAATTCACAACTTGATGATGCATGCCCTCAACACAGCTTGAGTTTAATTTATATTCTAGCCAAGTATTGCCTCCATTTGAGACAAGAGCTAGGCAACAACCACTGTGATGCTAAAGGAACACAGGAAATCTGAGGACGGGTTCACTGTTTATTTCATGACAAAAGATAATTCCAACTGAACAGTCAACCGGCACCGACCAGGAACTACTTCAAAGGTGACAAAATAACAGCTTCGATATACTACATCATATATTAGAGAGAGAAAATGAGATCTGAATAAAAGCGACTCATCTTGACCAAACTACCTCGGTCTCGTCATTCACACGATTTCTTCCCAGTCTTCCACTTCGATGTCCGGCTGCAACTTGCTCACAGATTGCCCAGCACTTGGTTCTGCGCCAACACCAGGAGCGGAAGTGCTGGATCCCGTGTCAGTGCGAAGAGGAGGCTTAGGTTTGTCGGTTGACCCAGAGCTTGTTGCAGCATCAGACTCCAGAGCATTCCACCGGTTTGAACTCGTGACCTGAACAGCAGGTTTCCACACTGATCCTGGGGAATGACCAAGCACACTTGTCCCTGGGGCACGACCAAGCACTGTCATCACTGCATGCGGGTTCGGTTTCAGCTCAGAGGGAGAGTCCTTCTTCCATGGACTGGCACTGCTCACTGCGGCCAACCCTCCATCTCTCGGTGCTCCAACCCACACATTGCTCGACAAGGAGGCCTGGGTGATGCTGCTTGGGCAAAACATTGCAGCACCCTGGTAAGCAGACCCATAATCGAGCCGCCTCAGCGCGGTTGCAGCTCTAGCTGGATCACTGAAGACTGCAGCAGCATTCTTGTCATTCAGCCAAACCAATTCACACTCCCCACCAAACCTTAACACTAGAGAGTTAACATCAGCATCCCTTGGCAGGTCCAGCATTGCGACAACGAGCCTCGGATCCATGTCCACCATGGGGTCAAAGTAAGGATGGGCCGCCGAGACAGGGACACCAGGCTTGGAGCCCAGAACACGAGCAGGAACCTTCGACTTGGGTGTCACATGGACGGTAACAAAACGCTTTGGCTCCCAACCAACTGCCTGGACAGAAAGCTTCCACCTATCTGCAATGAGCCTGATAGCATCTCTCTTATCCTTCATCATGTGACAGAAGACATGGAACTTCATGTTGCTTGAAGAATTCCCCCTTGTTTTCCCAAGGACAAGGAACTTGCACCTCTCCTCTATGGCCAGCACCCACTTTGGCTCACGCCGGAAAAGATCAGAAACCAAATCCGACGCATTTGAGTTCTCACCAAAATGCAATGCATCCAGATTGGGCTGGGTAATGTCGAAAGCTTCAGCAAGGACTCGTTTCCGCTCCACTTTTGCACACTCCTCATCACAACAGAGTTTCCTCTGCCCAAGAGGTACCCTTTTCCCATTTGATTCCACTGGTTGGAGAGGCATTGGCAGCTGCTGGATGACGGAGATATCAAACGTACTATCACCATTGTAGGCTCCACCAGCACTGCAGGGTACAGTTGTACTGATACGGCCACAAGAACAGGTAATAGTCGCACGATGTTCACATCTCACGTCTGGGCAAGGCGACGATGGGTGGCATGGGGCGTTGCAAGTGTGCTTGCATTCCCTCCTTGGGACACCACACAATTGTCCACATGAAACTTTGCCCCCGGAGCTTGAACTAGCTTCTCCATTTGTGGGCGATGGATCACAAGGGGAAGGATGGCAAGGCCTGGCACAAGCATGCAGTCCACATTGACGGTTCTTTCCACAGGGCTGGTTGCATCTGATATCCTTTGAACCACAAGGGATGTTCCTTAACATCACATGTCCCCCAACGCACTCTCTCATGACTGGCACAACGCAAGGTGGGCAGTCCCCAAAATGGCATTGGTGCGAAGCTGGGTGTCCACAAGGCTGAGGGACAATGCACTGGTGTGGGCATGATGGAGTTGGTGTGCCGCAAGGCTGCGGTGGCGGAATAGATGACCTGCCACACGCACAAGAGAGATCATTGAATATGGTCTCACGGCAAGGGTCGCAGTGACCGCTGTGGCAGAGATGCTGGCATCCATGCTGTCCACACCGGAGCTTCTTGCCACATGGTATCTGGCAGAAATGGGGATCCATGCTCTCACCTTGATGCTGAGCAAATGGCTTCGACAGCGGGCAACAGCACTCACTGCACCTGTGCCTCCCACAGTTCTTCTTGCGGCCACAAGGCTTGTTGCAACGGAACTCTTCCTTGGAGACCTTGTAGCACTCCACCATCTGGCCTGATGAGCCACAGCGGCACCTCTGCTCGACACGCACCAAGCACGGTGGGCACTCTCCTTCGTGGCACGTGCCCTTGCACCTATGCAGTCCACACGGCAATCTCTTGTCGCATACCTTGTCACAGGTGGCGATTGGGTCCAAGCAGCTAGTCCTCTTCTCCTGCAGCCTTGTCTTGCCACAATGGCATGTGGTGACCTTCGCTGGCATAAGCTCACACTCCCCACATGGCCCTGGGTGGCAAACATCCTGACAGGCATGATTGGCACATGCCAGTTTGTGGCCACAAACCTCGCTGCAAGAGAACACCCCATCCTTGTCCGACAGCTTCCCTTTGAGCACCATCTCGCCGCACAACAATGTCTCTGTTTTCTTGCCACAGAAGCAGAGCGCAGGGTAATCAACCTCGCATTCCCCGCACGGGCCGGTGTGGCAGACCTTGTCGCAATGGTGCCTCCCGCAGGGTAGCAGCTTCTCGCACGACTGCCCACACGTGACAGCCGTAATCCGGTCCGCACATCGACGAGTGATAGACTGCTTGCCGCAAGGGCACGGGCGCTCCGGAGCAAACGCCTTGCAAGGCGGGCATGGGCCAGGGTGGCACTGCAGGACACAGAGGTGCGGGCACCTGGTGGCAACATCATCATCATCGCCCTTGGCGGCAGGGTCTGCTCTGTCGAGCGGCTTGGAGCAGGGCTCGCCACAGGAGTGAGGGGTGAGGTAGAGGTCATTGGGCGGGTCGCGGCGGCGCCGGCAGAAGCAGGTGTAGGCGATGTCGCGGGCGGGGACGTCCTGCACGGACTGGCAGCCGGGGCAGCGCCAGGAGTCGGAGGCCGGGTCGTCGGAGGCGGAGGCCGGCGAGCGGGCCCACCGGCGGATGCAGGGGAGGTGGAAGATGGCGAAGCAGCTGCCGCAGGACCAGACGGGGGCGGAGCGGCGCACCATGTCGTAGCAGATCATGCACTCCACCGCCCCCCGCGCCAGCTTGTCCTGGATCTCCTGCACCAGCTGCGGCACCGCCCCGCCCCCCGCCGCCGCCGCTGGCGCGGGCGCGGGAGCGTTCGCCCTCTCATGCCGCGGCGCGTACGCGGGCGCGTTCGCCCTCATCTGCCGCGGCGCGGAGGCGTTGGCGTTGGCGGGCGCGGACGGGGGAGCCCTCTCCTGCGGCGGCGGGGCGCGGCCGTCGTTGTGGTTCGGGCGGCGCTGGCGGCGGCGGGGCGGGCGGCTGTCCGAGGCAGGGTTTGG